GTTACATTTCAAAATTCCGTTCACTCTTGATAGAACATATTATTCTGTTTAAAGAGCTCAGTACTGGGAATTTTTAACAAAAAGTTTTGAAAGGAACAAATTTATTCATCCAAACTCTTTTTAAAACCCACCTATTACTTAGCATGAAAAATATTATTATGTATTTTTATGTGATGCCCAAAGGGAGAAGTTTCTGCCCACTAATACCACCAAAAATGTCCAGTATAAAAGAAAAAAAATGGATCCATTTAATCTTGGAGCTGGTACCAAATCCAAGATATTCACACAAGTGAAAGAGTACAAAATAATCGTCATCATAAAATTAAAAGGAAAGCTGTACATTTCAAGGCTGCTTTGAAAGCACAGAAGACTTGCTCTGAAAGAACACATACCAAGATGATTTTCCCTTCCAGGTTAAGCAAGAGACTGACAGAAGGTAATATTATATTAGTCTCACCTGTAGAGCAATTCAGACTAAAAAAGAAATAAATATAACCCCACTCCCAGAAAAGTATATCTCCAAAAACCTCTAACACAATTTTGAACCTCAACACTCACTCACTGAAAAACAGAAAACGAGTACAGGAATTTGGCATATAACTAATCAGTTGAAAGCCCTGAAGTTGTTGCAGCTTTTTGTGTTCTTTCTTGGTTTAGGGATGGGAAGAAGAAATAGGAGTGAAAAAGGAAGAAATGAATTTTTATCCTTCAAGATGTGGTCAAATTATTGCTATGATTTTTGAGGCTTTTCGGAGTTCTTTAAACTTAAATGGATTGTACAAGTATCTCCTCCTCTTTTTTTTCCCCCTACGTTGGCACTGGCACTCCAGTATAAGTAGCAAAATGAACAACAGAAAGAAATGTTATGAGCAAATATCTAAACTTGGAGTAACACAATATATGAACAGCGCATTACACATTAGTTCTCTTGATAAGCACACTTCATTTGGATGTGTTTTCTTTTGGGGGTTTTAAGCTCAATAACTAGCACTTAGGAAAAGTAAAACTCTCTATGTAATTAATGGTAATGATATTTACAGTACGTATACGACTTTGAAACTCTTATTCCCAAGAGCTGTATCAGACTAACTCCGTGTCTTTCTTCCTATAATACAAAGACATATGAATGATATATTCTTAAACTAAATCTTATTTTAAAGCTAAATCCATGTTAAGCTGAAAAGAAAAAACTTTGGGAGTTCCCAAAGAAAACTGGAATTACTTTTATAATATTTGTACTAATGGATCATGTTTCATGCAGAGCTATATACTAACCACCCACAATGAGACATGTTCAAGATAGTCTTTCAGCCTGTATTTTAAATGCCCTGGGTTTTGTGGGGTTTGTACTATAGCCCTGTTACATAACGCTATTTCTTTATTTCTTTCCATTCCAGTGTGCTATCAATCTACCTGTCTGTTTTTGGAGTTCCTTTAAGTTTCACAAAAGGAAACCATACTCCAACTTTGTTTCCATCGGCTCTGGCCCGCACTTCCAAAAGTGAGCATAAAGGGCTAGTTGTTCCGAAACGGGCCATTGAGAGAGAATTTATCCCTACCTCAGTAATAAAAATATTCTGTTTTCTTCATCCCTTCCCCCACTCTCCATATATGCTCGCTATCAGATGGCCTCCCCTGAATTGAACTACAGAAATGCTCCACTGTTTCTCCAAACGCCTAAGAACACCATCAAGCGTCTGAGTGTGGATCGTGTCTGCTTCATTCCAGGTGTCTCACATCTGGTGCTGCTCCTGCAGTGACCACGGTAATAAAACAGGAGGAGCCACTGCCTGGCTTTCATCCTAATCATTCTCTAAAGAGCTCGATGAAAACTTGGACTAGGAATGTGAAAGCCGTTAGTTTTTAGGGAGCCCGTTTAACTGAAGAAGCAGTTTGAAGAAGAGCAATACACATCACAGCTCAGGACATCAAATACCACAATAGGGCTTCATTTCCTTGGAATCACAGTCTGCCATCCGTTTTTTATTTTGTCTTACATGGAAACATCATCCTTCATTGGTAACACCTTTAAACCAAAAAACTCGTGGGTAGGTAGAGATACAGATACGATTTTACTTTTTGTTTTTAAGTCTGGGAGGGGAGAGAATAGCTAAGCGGCTTGCACTGAAAAACAGATGAACATTTGGAGGACACCCATGACTCTTGACACAAGTAAAGTTTCCTGAGGTCAGTCATTCTAGACAGTAGAAAGGTGGCAAATGGCACATTATACCAGTTATGATGGAGTCAGATGCTTTAATTTACAGCAAGTCTGCAGCCATGGCAAACAGCACTGAATTCTGAGCTACAATAAAACTTAGGGCCATGCCCCTAGAGTTTACCAAGAATCAGAGGCAGTGTTATTTTCACTTGGATCCACCCTTTTCATTCTCAAGCAGCACAGCACTGAACGAAGAAAGGAAGCAAGGACACAACAAAGAGCTGTGTGTGTGTGGGGGGGGAATACATATATTTTATATTTATCTACAGTATATAGTATACACAGATATATGTCATATTTATCTAGTGGCTTTCCCAGATTATCCTGCTTGAGATTTCTTATCTGTCTTCCAAACAAGTCCTGATGTGCCAAATTAGAGTTTTAAATAGGTTCCTACCTCCCCAAAACTTTACCAAACCCTAAAATATTATGCTTTAATATGACTAAAGATAAAACGTTTTAAATGACTTTCAACAATTCTTTTCACGTTACTCAGCATTTAACTCTCAAGTTTGATGACTTCCAAAAATCTTTTCACGCCCAGCTTTTGGAAGAGATACAACTGGCACACAACACGAGTAAATGTGACTGGCATTGCACAAACTTTCAGTGCTTTAAACCAACTGATATCAACCCGTATAAGTAGAGAACATTGCCCAGCCATACACAGGAGTGATATGGCTGAGGGAGAGGATTCAGTAAAACAAGGGTGACATTAACAGGATAATGATTGAATAGGTGGATAGAAGGCAACTTCAAACAGCTTGCCAAAGGAAAGCCTTATTTTTTCCATTTTCTTGTATAGTATCTAATTTCTGGCTCCTCATTTCCTCCATGATCTGATAATTATGAAATTCTAAATAAAGTGTCATCTTTCTTGCAACAAATCAATGAACAGAAAGCTCTCATCAACAATGCAGATGTTTCCTAAAGCTCCTGCTGATTATTTCCTGAATGTCTATCCCACAAACCACACAGCAAGTTCCTTGAGAAAAGAAACCCTCTCTACCCCATAACTAATACAGCTTCTGTGTGTGTGCGTGTGTGTGTGCGTGCGTGTGTGTGTGCATTTAAAAAGAGGACTAAAGTAATATGCAACTGATAACAATGAGTCACGACAAATATCACCTTTTGTTACCAATTTTAGATTGAAATTTAGCCCTTTCCAAATGCTATGGTACAAATATGGGAAGGAGAATTCCTTTACATTGTATATCTGTCCCTACAGATGCAGTAAAATTGTTTTTGCGTTCCTTATCACAGATTTATACCAATAGCACCCCCATATACACAATTATAGTTTTGGCATCCCTCTCCCAACAACACAATTTTTAAAAATTCTACCTTTATTCCTCCTGCTATCCTTATAATAATCCTATAATACAAAGGTCAACTTTGTGTTATTAAAAAGTAAAAAATTCAATGGGTTACTAACAAAGCCTTCAGGTTCACAGCTAACTCTGAGCTTATCTACTAAGGAAGTAACATTTTGAGGAAGTTTGTTTTAAACTCTTCCAGCCTCCCAAAAATTATAGGTATTCTCACTTTTGCAAAAAAGCTCCCATCTTCTGCATTCTGTTTGTTTCAATTATTCAGGGCAAGCCAGGCTGATAATTACACAGTCCCAGTTGCTGAGTAAAAGTGATGCTTAATTAGCCAGCAGGAAAGATCGATTAAGATCCAGCAGGACATCTTGTGAGGTGCTCTCACATTCCTGAAGGGAATAGATTCTGGCTGTGCCCTTTGAAAGGATAAAATTCCCTGCATCTAAGGAGTTTCAATGAGGTTTCTAAAGTAGATGCTAAGATCCATCAGCCACACAAATTAACTCTCAGTTATAACCCTGCAGATGCCCCCCCCTTTTCCAAGAGTACCCAGTGCAAACATTCAGAATCACATTGCCACCGGGATGGAAACGGCTTAAAGTAACACTTACCCCACCTCTCGTTCAGTTACCACATTTCAAGTAAGAGGTGGTCGAGAAATATATCGTAAAGGAAAATTTTTATTTCTTCCTCCCCCAGGCAGGTGTATGCCTCTGTCAGATGCTCACATTCTACAAGTCACAAATTAGGTCAGGGACTCTTATTTTAAAAAAAACCAAAAAACCTAATGAGCACGATAACCCAGTCTGAGACCAAAACATTTCAATATGGTCAAAGAATCAACTGGATAAGTCTGGTTTATGTTTTCTATTAGAGAAGGAGATGTGGAAGTGAAATTAGGACCAAAAATCATAACAAAAATTAAGTATCTCACACTGCCTATCATCTTCCCATTAGTAATGTGGACAAGCATAGCTTTTCACACATTTTGCAAAAAGGTTTAATAAAGACCAACATAACAATCCAAAGCTAAAAGCAGAATAATTATCTTAAGACACATAATTATAAAAATATTTATATTTTGGAATGACCGGTTAGCTCAGTTGGTTAGAGCATGGTGCTGAGAGCATCAAGGTTGCTGATTCAATCCCCACGTGGGCCACTGTGAGCTCTGCCCTCCTTAAAAGAGTCAACTATGCCATTGTAGCGTGAAAGCAATGTGTAACCAATGACCATGGCTGTTCCCCAGTAAAATATATATATGTAAACTACACTAACTGTGGTTGCTTACCTCCAATTCAATTAAGTAAATATTTATTAAGCCTCTAACAAATGTAGAGAACTGTGATAGGTATGTCTTACCTTGTTAATTTATACACTATTAAAGTAGATTTTACTGATTATAGATTGTTGTAAAGCTTATGAAGAAGAATAATGGAACCATTTATACAAACCTAGTTTTGATTTGTTGAAAGCCACGAAGAATATGGTCTCTGTGGTCCCTTGCAAGAGCACTGAGGTTCTCATTCCTCAAACCTTCTGCCAGAAACTCCTCAGCATCTAAAAGAAAAAAGAAAAAGAAAGTTAATCAACAGAAAATAATACTAAGGGAGAAAGAAGAAAATATGAAGAATTAAGAAATGGATATTCTCTTTAAAAACTTTAAAGTTGCAGAGCAATGTGAATGTACTTAATGCTACAGAACTGTACACTTAATAAGGTGAAAATGGTAAATTTTATGTAATGTGTATTTTACCAGAATAAAACATAAATAAAACTTTATATATTCTTATAAGTGACACCTTTTGATAATTTAAGACCTCACTATGAATTTAGAAAGCAAACGCATATATTAACTACAAGACAAAACTATTTTCTAAACCATTTTAAAGAAATATTTAAATAGTAATTGTCATTGATGGCAGAGGACAGACTGTCATTTTCATAAACATATAAATATTACAAACAATTCATAGAAGGTCACAGGCCAGTAGAAGCTAGAAAGAAATACCAATAAATGGAGCTGAAATAAAAAATAGAGCTGAACTGCAGAATCAAGAACAAAAGGGGCAGGCATTCAAAGAAGAAAAATTAATTAGCAAATGCATCATCAATGAAAATGACAATGCAACCAAGTGAAGGAACCCACATGGAAAAGAAAAATGCGTTCAAGAGAAGGAAACTGCAATTAATGTGAGCATACATTATAAAATAGGGACATGAAACAAATATATAATTGGAAACAAATCATGTTATGTTGAAAGAAACGGGGGGGCACCTACAAATTTTCAAAGACAAAATACATTCATAATGATTATAGTTGCCAGAAATACTAGCTACATACTTTATTATGCATAAAAGGGTATCTAAAAAGCATATAAATAATATAGTTAAAATTTTCCACTTCCAAAAATAATGCCTGTAATATGAAACTGTATCATATATACTATCAAAATAAGGCTATGGATGTATATGGTTGGGTTACATAAGCACACTTAAAAATTTGCTTTACATTCACACCATTCAACACCACCAAACGAAAAATCCTGGATAGCCATCACCAAGACTTTTGATGAGGTATAAAGTTTTGGAAATTAAAAACTTCAGAGAGGACCACCATCAATTTCCAAGGCCTGCAGCACATTTATTGTATATTTTATTTAGTAGGCTCCTCCAAGTTCCTCTGAGGGCTAAAGAACAAGGAAATTGAAAGTTGAATTAAAAGGTAAAAATAAATATCAAAAATTCAATTAATACAATACACCATATTAATAGAGCAAAGAACAAAGACCACATGATCATCTCAATAGATTCAGAAAGAACATTTGACAAAATTCAATAACTCTTCATGATAAAAAAAAATCACTCAACAAATTGGGAATAGAGGGAAACTTCCTCAGGCTGATAAAAAGCATCTACAAAAAACCCACAGCTAGGGCCGGCTAAGTGGCACGATGGTTAAGAACTGGCTTGGGATGCCAGAGGGCCCCAGTTCGGATCCCACATATGAGGGCCAGTGACATTGCCCTCCACAGCTAAGATGCTGAACAACAGCTCAACCTGGAGCTGGGCTGCCGTGAGTCGCCGGCGACGGGGTAGGCTGCAGCCCCTGTGGCAGTGGGTTGCCATGGGCTACCGTATGTAGCCAGCAGCCAGCGTGAGCGGCCATCCAGAAGCTGGCGACTGATCTGCCTCGCCCGGGAAGAGCGCAATGATGGTGCCAACTTGGGCCAGTAAAGCAACATCCTCCACAACTAGACTGAAGAACAAAAACCACAGCAACTTGTCTGTTCCCCTTCCCCCAATTCCCCAGCTCTGTTCCCCAATTTCCCAATAAAATCAAACAAACAAAAAAACCCACAGCTGACATCATATTTAACACTGAAAGACTGAATCCTTTCTCCCTGTTCCTAAGATCAGGAACAAGACAAGGAGATCTGCTCTCACCATTTATACTCAAAATTGTACTGGTGCCAGTCAGGGCAATTATGCAAGAAAATGAAATTAAAAGAGTCCAGATTAGAAAGAAATAAAAATATCTCTACTTACAGATAATGTGATCTTGTGTATAGAAAACTCTAAGGGATCCACTAAAAAACTATTAGAACTAATAAACGAGTTCAGTAAGTTTGCAGTATACAAGATTTGTATGTAAAAATCAGTTTTATTCCTATATAGTAGCAACGAACAAACTAGAAATGAAATTAGGAACATTCAATTTAAGAGCATAAAACAGAATTAAATATGTAGGAATAAATTTAACAAAAGAAGCACAGAACTTAGACCCTGAAAACTACAAAATGTTTTTGAATGACATTAAAGACCTAAATGGAAAGATGGTCCATGTTCATAGATGAGAAGACTTACTATTGTTAAAATGGCAATATTGGGCTGGCCGAGTGGCACGATGGTTAAGAACTGGCTTGGAACACCAGAGGGCCCCGGTTTGAATCCCACATATGAGGGCCAGTGACACTGCCCTCTACAGCTAAGATGCTGAACAAGAGCTCAACCTGGAGCTGGGCTGCTGTGAGTCGCCGGCGATGGCGTAGGATGTAGCCCTTGTGGCAGTGGGTTACCATGGGCTACCGTGTGTGGCCAGCAGCCGCCGTGAGCGGCCGTCCAGAAGCCGGCGACTGATGTGCCTCGCCTGGGAAGAGCGCAATGATGGTGCCAACTTGAGCCAGTGAAGCAACATCCTCCACAACTAGACTGAAGAACAAAAAAAACGACAGCAACTTGTCTGTTCCCCTTTCCCCAATTCCCCAGCACTGTTCCCATCCCCCCAATTCCCCAATAAAAAAAATCTTTAAAAATAATGGCAATATTCCCCAAATTGATCTGAAGGTTCAACGCAATCCCTACCAAATTCTGAGCTGGCTTTTTTGCAGATATTGACGAGCTGATCCTAAAATTTATTTGGAAAGTCAAGGGACCCAGAATAGTCAAAGCAATTTTTAAAAAGAAGAACAAATTTAGAGGACTCACATGTTTTATTTCAAAACTTACTACAGAGGTACAGTAATCAAGATGATATGGTACTGGCATAAAGATAGACATATAGATCAAAAGAACAAAATTGGGAATTCAGAAATAAACCCTCAAATTTATAGCAATTTATTAACTTTTGACAAGGATACCAAGACAATTCCATGGGAAAGAATAGTTTTTTAAAACAAATGGTGCTGAAACAACTAAATATCCACATGCAAAAGGATAAAGGTGGACCCCCTACCTCACACAATATACAAAAATTAACTCCAAATGAATGAAAAACTTAAATGTAAAAGCTAAAACTGTAAAACTCTTAGAAGAAAACAGGCCTAAATTCTCATGACTTTGGATTAAGCAATAGTTTCTGAGATACGACACAGAAAGAGCAAGCAACAACAAAAATAAATAAATTGATCATTATCAAAATTAAAACTATTGTCCTTCAAAGAATGCCATCAAGAAAGTGAAAAGATAACCCACAGAATGGGAGAAAAATTTTGCAAATCATACAGCTGATAAGAGATTATATGTAAAATATATAAAGAAGTCTTACAACTGAATAATAAACAGACAATTAACCCAATTTAAAAATGAACATGTGGAGAAAAGGGAACCCTGGTGCATTGTTGGTGGGACTGCAAATTGGTGCAGCCATTATGGAAATTAGTATGGAGGTATCTCAAAAAACTGGAAATGGAACTACTGTATGACCCAGCAATTCCACTCTTGGGAATTCGAAAAAATATATGCACCCCTATGTTCATTGTAGCGCTATTTACAATAGCCAAGACTTGGAAACAACCGAAATGCCCATCGGTAGATAACTGGATTAAGAAACTGTAGTACTTTTATACAATGGAGTATTACTCCGCTATAAAGAAGAATGAAATCGTACCATTTGCAACGATATGGATGGACCTACAGACTATTATGTTAAGTGAAATAAGTCATTCGGAGAAAGACAAATACCGTATGATCTCACTTATATGTGGAATCTAAAAAACTAAATGAACAAGCAAAGTAAACAGAAATAGTTTCAGAGGTATAGAGGAACAACTGATGGTTGCTAGTTGGGAGGGGGCTGGGGATGAGGGAGAAAGGGAAGGGATTAGCATAAATAGGTAACTACAATATTGTCACAGGAATATGAAAGGCAGTTTGAGGAATATAATTAATAATGTTGTAAATATTTTGTAGGGTGTCAGATGGTCACATATCTTGTTAGGGAGACCACTTCATGGACGGGGTAGAAGCTTGATCACCGCACTGTACACCTGAAACTGATGTTGTATAATATTGTATGTC